TGCATTCAGGTCGTAATTTTGATTGCAAACGCTGCCAAACAGGACAGGATTTTTTTTTTAGTCTTTAGCTATTTTAATAAGAGCAGTCTCAGTACTGTGGTGAGTTCTAAAGGGTTCAGTGAGCTCATGGAGGTTTATTAAACTTTCACATCGTTCCTTCACATTTTTATGCATCCAACAAATACTTTGCATTCAGAAATATTAATTACTGGAAGACTAAACAGGAAACTAATCCACTGACAGTAATGAAACTGTGCATGCAAGCAGTCTTTAACAATCAAGCAAGTTACTGTGTAAACATTAACTGCAGTTCTCAATTATGCCACAGTGTGGCGCTCTAACACAGAAAATCAAAGCCTACTCTAGTTTACACTGATTTGAGTGCCGTCTAAATGACTATAAACCTTGTGTCACCATAAGAAGTAATCAGAGGAGCAGTGCTGGTATGATTTTTTATACTCTATCAGGATTATAAAACACAGGGATGATAGTATATTCATCAGGATTCACTGACTTACAGTATATATAATATATTGCTTACACAGATGAATGTTTTATTCTCTAAGACAAAGGCTGCGGCTCAAGTTTAAAAGAAAAGTTTGACATTTAAAAGTGTTAAAGCATAGCAAACCAGAAGAAAAGAAGTAAGCAGGTCCAAACAAGGACCCACCAGTCCATCATCTATAACCAGGACATCACCGAGAAATGAGTGTAACTAACTTCCAGTAAGGGTGGACTCTAATTTAAATACATTTTGAACAGATAAATATTTAATATACTTTCTAAGACAGTTCATCTTTTGTATAGACACATAGTCTGTCGTAGTTCTAAATATGCCTGCTCATTACAAGCAAGCTCAGGCAAAGAGAACAGAAGGAGAAACACTCATATGCACAGTTTAAGCACATATATGTGTTTGCATAATGTCTTTGAATAATTCTTATTGAGTCTGCACTTCTAAGGGCAGTTCACACTGAAACAGTCATTTGTACTTCTTTTGATTCCTCTAGAAGTCACTGCTGGTTGAAGTTTTTCTTCTAACTTCATGGCCGAGTCAGGGCATGCTAATGCACAAATTCCTGCTGCTGTTTAAAACTCTCCAGATCATCAGGGCAGAGCTCGTCATAGCTCAGCAGACAACTGTTACCGACAATTCGTGGGGCTGTAGAGAGAAGAAATAACAGAGGTCATGAATTAGAGTTTACAAGAGTCATAAAAAAATATGATTACTGCATATCAGGCTCTGCGTGTAAAAACGAACAGTGACTAAGTGTAAGGATGATTCTCTGAAATAAGGGAAAGGAGTTTGCAGGCTTCTGTCTGACTGACTTTAAAGAAAAGAGAGAAAAAATCTAATTTGATTGTACAACTATCTGGTCAAAAAGACCCATGTATCTATATCCATATCTATATCTCTTCAAATGTCTTGGCTCCAACACTTCTTTACTTGCTTTAGAAATGAACAGAGGGCCTCTTCCTCCTGAACTCTTGCTCACTGTGTCAGAGTTTTAGCTACTTCTCAGCCTCCTTTAGTAATGATGATACTTGTAACAAATATGGTTACAGCTCTGGAGGCCAGGAGCTTCAAAGAGTAGTTGTCAAACAGCTAACAGATCATCTGCATAGGAATGACTTATTATAAGAGTTTCAGTCAGGTTTCAGAGCTCATCACAGCACAGAAACAGCTTTAGTGAAGGTTACAAATGATCTTCTCATGGCCTCTGACAGTGGACTCATCTCTGTGCTTGTCCTGCTAGACCTCAGTGAAGTGTTCGATACTGTTGACCATGATTTATTACCGTGATTAGAGCACGCTGTAGGTATTACAGGTACTGCGCTGCAGTGGTTTGAATCATATCTATCTAACAGACTCCAATTTGTTCATGTAAATGGAGTCTGTTATACATTGCATTATACATGCTTCCCTTAAGCCAGGGTCTGCAACCTTTAACACCCAAAGAGCCATTTGGACCTGGTTCCACGCAAAAGAAAACACTGGGAGCCTCAAATACTTTTTGACATCTAAAATGAAGATAACTCTCGGAGCCGCAGGTTGCCGACCCCTGGGTTAAGCAGTATTATTAGAAGACATAGCATACAATTTCACAGCTATGTAGATGACAGCCAACTCTATCTGTCCATGAAGCCAGATAACACAAACCAATTAGTTAAACTGCAGGAATGTCTTAAAGACATAAAGACCTGGATGAAGTTTAATTTCCTGCTTCTAAATTTAGATTCAGATAAAACTGAGGTTATTGAATTCGGCCCTGAAAATCTTAGAAATATGGTATCTAACCGGACTCTTACTCTGGATGGCATTACCTCGGCCTCCAGCAACACTGTGAGGAATCTACTTTATATCCTTCAATGCACATAAACAAATTTGTAGGATTACTTTCTTTCAATTGCACAACATCTCTCAAAATATAAATATCCTGTCTCAGAGTGATGCTGAAAATTCCGAAAAGCCTTCAGTTAATCCAAAATACTTCAGCAAGAGTGCTGACCGGCAGAAGAAAGACAGACCATATTTCTCCTTAAAAACTGATCTTGAATAATCAGACCCCACCTTATCTTAAAGACCTCATTGTACCGTATCTTCCCAATAGAGCACTTTGCTCTCGATCTGCTGGTTTACTTGTGATTGCTAACACATTTAAAAATAAAATCGGAGCCAGAGCCTTCAGCTTTCAGGCCCCTCTTCTGTGGAACCAGCTCCCAGTTTGGATTCGGGAGACAGACACTATCTCTACTTTTAAGAGTAGGCTTAAAACATTTCTTTTTGATAAAAGCATATAGTTAGGGCTGGATCAGGTGACCCTGAATCCTCTGTTAGTTATTCTGCAATAGGTCCAGTGTTTCACCTTCACTCACTATGTGCTTATGCACCAATCTGCATTTAATCATTAGTTATGGTCTATGGCTCTTTTCCACAGTGTGTTTTTGTCCTGTCTTCCTCCACTAACTCTCAACCAGTCGCAGCAGAAGGCCTACCCTTCTTGAACTTGGTTCTGCCAGAGATTTCTTCCTTTTAAAGGGGAGTTTTTTTATTCCCACTGTCACTGAAGTGTTTGCTCATTGGGGATCATATGATTTTTGGGGTTTTCTAGGGTCTTTACTAGTGCTGTCAGCGTTATTCTCGTTAATACGACGTTAACGCCTTAACACAGCAAATTCCCGTTCGGCCCATGCGAGGGTTGCACGGCGCTAACGCGTTAACACAGTGCAGCCCTCGCAAGCTTCAGTCTAATCTCGTCCTCTCAAAAAATGATGACTGTTAACAGCTGCCGCTTTACTGAGAAAAGCAGCCAGTGAGGGTTTATAGGAAACACTCGAAACACACTGGGCCCCAGTCTGGATGGGCCTGGGCCCCCTTTCCCTGGCGGGTCGCGGAGTATGGGAGTGCCTACTGGGGTCAGCGGGGGAGCTGGCCCCAGGGAGGGGTCACCTGCCCCTCCCTTCCTTCCCTCCCCATCTCCAGCTGCCTCCCTCTTCCCGCTCCACCACAACCACCCACACATGCAGGGCCTTGGAGTAGGGGTATGTCACCAGGGTGCAGAGGAGGCTACCCCCCCCCCCCCTCTGTCCCCTTCTGGCTGCCTCTGCCTCAATTTTATCCCACAACTTAGACATTCACATTACTCACACTCTCATTACACATACATATAGGATCTTGGGGGTGGGCACGATACACGGAGTCCAAATTACCATCAGGGTGTACACCTCACCCCTGGCGTCGTTGCCCACCTCTCAATTTTGAATACACGTAGACATTAAGGGCTAGCAGGAGGGACTATGCGCTTACCTGCTGCTCTCTGGCAGGTAGCTCCATGCCCTCCTGGGTTTTAAATGCACCTTAGAACACACATGCATCAACACTACAATGAGCGGGTGGAGGGAGGTTTGGAGTCTTCTCTCACCCCCGTTCTCTGCGGCCTGCTAGGAGGAGTTGGCCGTCCGACTGCGGTCTGGAGTGTGGGGCCTCCCTGCTGCTGCGGAGTCGGGGCGGTCTGCCTCTCCCCACCGCAGGGAAAAGGGTAACACCACCTGGGTCTGGGTGCAGTTCCCCCTCCAGGGGCAAGGGTACCTAGACCCGGTTCGTAGAGTACGCTTGGGGAGTGTGATCGTGTGTACAGCGTCTCTTTATGTCTGTCTCCACGTTGGTTGAGTGTGGAGTAAGTGCATATGAGAGCATGAGGGTGGGAATGGATGTTTGTGTCTGTGTGTGCCTGTATGTCTGTGTCTATATGTCAGGTCGGGTATCAGACACCACCTCTCTGGGGACATCTCAGGCCCTCCAAGGTTTGGAGGCTTATCTCCACCCACCACCACTTCCCCTGCCAGTGGCGGACTCCCTCAGGTATCGGTGCGTTGGTGGTTCTTTGTGTCTGGGGGTGGGCGTCCGGGTACACACCGGCTCACTCCTTGGCGGCCGCTTATCGGGGCCTGGAGCCTGGGGCTCGCTCGGGCCACTTCGGAGGTGGGGTGCCCCCGGCCTCTCGGCCTGGGGCTCGGTCACTCAGGCACAGCTGGCTGCCGACGGAGCTCACGGGCGCGTCACTGCAACTCCCCCTGGCTTCTTCTCCGCGGCTGCTGAGTGAGCCCTCATCTGGGACTCTCCTCAGCTCTTACTGGGACAGTGGCGCAGCTGCCCCTCTGTGGGTCTTCCTTGGTCTCTTGTGTTCTGGGAGCCTCTGGATGTCTGGAGCTTTGATCTCCTCCATACCTGCTTCATACCCTGGAGGACGGGGCTGTGGCTCCCCACACTCCCTAGCAGATCGTTACATGGAGAAACCTTTGGAATGCAAGCATGCTGATCCACACAGGTATGCACACAGGTGTACACAGGGTATTCACAGACGCAGACTACAGCTTTCTTGGCTGCTGCCTCAAAGCACATTGGCCTTGGCCTTAAGACAACAATTCTGATGGCTAAAGATCCAAACGGGACACAAAAAAAAAAAAAAAAAAAAGGAAACACTCGATCTTTGCTCCGATACCAACTGTGTATTATACAGTAGTGCTAAAAGCAGCATTGACTCAATGCAACTTCCTACTTACCACAGATTCTCCAGTCTGTAATTTGAATTATTCACAAGATTCACCAGCTGAATCATATCTGAATCCTGCAGGCCGTTTCTACTCAGGTCCAGCTCTCTCAGGTGGTAGGGGTTTAACTTCAGCGCTGAGCACAGAAAAGTACAACTGGCCTTTGACAAAGAGCACTCCCTTAGTCTGAATAAAGAATAAAATAAAAAGACAATGTTTCTGTTTTAAATATTTCATATCAAACATAATAAGTAAAAAAAGAGCTGTCATTATTACTAATCAAATCTTGCTATTTCTGCTGCACAACAAAGACATAATAAAATCAGCTCTCATACACTGCCAGCTCAAGCAGTGACTTCATTTACATGCAGTTGTGCTCAGCAAAAAACATATGCACACCCATTTAACTGCCTGTTAACACTGATTTGCGTAATGCCTAATGGCAGTAACTCAATGCATTTAGGCATGTGGGCATGGTTAAGACAACCTACCTACTTAAGTTCAAATCAAGCAACAAGTGATTTTGAGCATATCAGGATTATTTGAACCACACAGGTGGTTCTGAGTGTTTTAGAAACTACTGATCTGATTTACCCACAAACCATCTTTAGGGTTTACAGAGAATAGACACAAAAGCAACAAGTTCTCTTTATTTTTTTTATTTTTATTTTTTTTGCCTGTCCCATTTGGTTCTTTAGCCATCAGAATTGTTGTCTGAAGACCAACAAGGATACCCAATGGATTTACTTTGCCAAATGGATCATCGTGGCATTGCCGTATTGGTCCATTTGATCGACCTTTGTTTTTATTATTTATTATATTTTATTTTCAGATGTTACAGACGGGACAGACATGAGTGAGGGATAGGAAAGGGAGAAAGAAAGGGGAAGGAAAAGAAAAACAGAAGGGGAGAGGGACAGTGAGAAAGGGGGGGAGAAAAAAAATCTCCTGGATCACCTGTTGAGAGAAGAAGAATAGAAAACAAGAAAAAAACAACAACAAAGCAACATACTAAACACAACACCATCGCATTAATCTAGCTAAGTGTAAACAGCAGTAAATACTAAATATTCAATGTTGTTGTGCAGCACGCAGGACAGACAGCGCACAATGTGCTTTGAAGTAGCAGCCAAGAAAGGTGTAATTTAAGTCCACGAGCAGTGAACACCCGTGTGCATAGCAACAAGTTCTCTGAGTGAAAATCTCTTATTGATGCAAGAGGGAAAATGGCCGAACTGTTTTGGGCCTCTAAATGCAGAACATGTTGAACCTTAAAGCAGAAGAACACAGTGGGTGCCACATGTAGCAGCTAACAACATGAAAGGGTTGGGGACCACCAAAAGTGGACAATAGAAGAGCTGAAAAACAATTCCCTTGTCTAATGTGTCTCGATTTCTGCTGCAACATTCTAAAGGCAGTCAGAATTTGGCATAAACAAACTGCAGATCCGTTGTGTCTTGTATTAGGGACAGATAAAACAAGATATTTGAACATGACTTTTTGTGAATTGAACCTGTAAGATCATCATTACATTCTGAAAACACAGTTTAATATGAAAACACAGCTGACCTCAGAGTTTCCAGTTGACAGGGTCGACACTCCAGAAAACCACACAACTGCTTTACTCCAGAATCCTGCAGCTTGTTGTAACTCAGATCCAGATGTCTCAAGCGGGAGGGGTTGGACTTCAGAGCTGAGCTCAGAGTAGCACAGCTAATCTCTGACAATCCACAGTGCCACAGTCTGAATAACAAAAGAAGAAAGAAAAAGACAGATACAATTATTTCTGACCTAATGACATGTTGACAGGTTTTAAACGTAGTGCCACATCACTTTATAGTATGTAATGCACAGATATAAAACTAATTCAGGGAAAAGGTATCATAAAAAAAATCACTAACTGAAATAACGACTTAGCATTTCTCTAATGATGGTTTTGTATCTTGCAGGCATTCAGTGATGATTAGATTGGATTACTTAGATAGGAGGAATTAAAAAATCAATGTAGGATCGGTTAACCCTAGCAGGTATGATTACTAAGCTTTGGCTAAAATTTCACTGGTACATGCTTCCAAACAATCCCCCCCCCATTAAGAGCAGTCTGTTACATATTTTAGCTAGTCTGAAATGGTACAAAATGGTGTTGTTCACTTTCTAAGCACAGAAAAGGATACTAACCAAAGCAAGGTTTCACTTTGTGTACTTTTTATGTACTTTTTTGGTTGTTTTGGAAAATCCTGAAAATGTATATCCAAATTTATAAAGTAAATGTATTAAAAACAACAACAACGGTCAGGGTACTGACTTCAGGGTCTTCAGTCTGCAGTTTGGACTCTCCAGTCCTACAGAGAGCAGTTTCAGTCCCGAGTCCTCCAGCTCATTGAAGGTCAGATCTAACTCTATCAGATGGGAGGGATTGGACTTCAGGGCTGAGGCCAAGACTTCACAGTGAGTCTTTGAAATTCCACAGTCAGAAAGTCTGTGATAAGACAAATTTGCAAAAGACATTATCATGGAAGAAGATACTACATATTTATTTTTGCTTTTGCATTTAACATCAAAACAGTTGAGCAGATCTTGTTCAATCAGGGAACCCATCAGCGAAAAGCCTTTTGGGAACAACAGCCAATTTGGGGGCTTTCCAGTGTAGCTAGCTGATATCTAGACCAAGAAGCATTCTGAGTAGAGATGTCAAGACTTTTGATCATCCAGGGCACCTCTTTCAATTTAACAGCTGCTCTGAAAGAAAGCCCAGCCACACCTCATAGAAAAATCATTGCTACCACTTGTATCTGCAACATCATCCATTCAGTCCGAGCTTGTGACCATAGGTGAGAGTAGGAATGAGAGTAGGATGCGGCAGCGTGTGCTGCACTGACCGCCAGCTAGAGTGAATGGCCCAAAATTTGTGTTGCGCTGACTACTGCACTGGTATGTCATTTTTTTTGCTCACTCTATGTGTACCAGATGTGCCTGCTCTGTGTCATTTCAAAACATTTATCTCTCATCCATAAAAGGCAAAACATTGTAAGTATCCCAACTAGGGAAGAGTATGTCGTTTCCACAACAGTGCTTTCCTCCACATAGCTGTTGAATGAGTGACTTACTCAAGAGCTCCAGGAGGTCCCTATATATGTATGTAAACATGTGTCATGGAGTTCCTCGTTCATTGTGTGGTTGAGGTTAGTGTGACTGTAGGCTTCGTTTCTCTTGGTTGTGCAAAGGTATGTCATAGCATATAGCGGTTAAAGTTCAGCTGGGTTGAACTTTGACCACAGCATGTGCGAGTACTCTTGTGCAACAGAAAAGAATGGGTTTTGGAGTACAGGCTGCACATGCCGCGTCTTATGTGAAAGGGCCTTTAGACTTACAGAGCCTTTCTGCAGTTCCTCACAGCTGGGATCAGTCTCTGTCGCCCTGCCTCTGAAGTGTTGTACTTGTTCAGGTCCAATTCATCCAGAACTTCTGACATTTGCAGCATGTAGGCCAGAGCTGAGCAGTGGATTTCATAGAGTCTCTTCTCTGATTTGTTCTCTGATTAAGGAACTCTTGGATCTCCTGATGTACTGAGAGGTCATTCATCTCCATCAGACAGTGGAAAATGTTAATGCTTCTGTCGGGAGATATTTTATCGCTGTTCATCTTCTTCAGGTTGTTTATAATTCTCTTGATGATTTGTGGACTATTTTGCAAATGACCCAGTAAGCTTCCTAAAAGTCTGTGGTTGGACTCCACACTAAGGCCATGAAGGAAGCGAACAAACAGGTCCAGGTGTCCATTTTTACTTTGCAAAGATTTCTCCATGGCTCTGCTCAGAAAGACATCCAGAGATGGGATGGAACAATTAATATTTCCAGATTGTTTAGAGGTTTTCTCAAGAAAAGACTTTATATTTATAAAGTCCTGCAGAACATCAGTATTTTTATTAGTGAAACAGTGGAACATATAAACGGCAGCTAGAAACTCCTGAATGCTCAGATGAACAAAGCAGTAGACTGGTTTCTGAAAGATCACACACTCTCTTTTGAAAATCTCTGTACAAAGTCCTGAGTTCACCGAGGCCTCTGTGACATCCACACCATACTGCTCCAGGTCTTCTTGGTAGAACATGAGGTTTCCTTTTTCCAAATGTTCAAATGCCAGCCTCCCAAGCTTTAAAAGACCTTTCTTGTCAGCCTCCATCAGCTCTTCTGGACTTGCTTCTTCTCCCTCGTGGTACTTTTGAATCTTCCTTTTTGTTTGTACCAACAGGAAGTGTGAGTACATGTCGGTCATGGTCTTGGGCAGCTCTTCTCTCTGCCCTCCAGTCAACATGTGCTCCAGAACTGTAGCAGTGATCCAACAGAAGACTGGGATTCCACACATGATGTGGAGGCTCCTGGATGACTTGATGTGGGAAATAATTTTGCCGGACAGCTCTTCATCACTGAATCTCTTCTTAAAGTACTCCTCTTTCTGAGCATCAGTGAAACCTCGCACTTCGGTGACACGGTCAACACGTGTAGGGGATCTGATTGCCGCTGCTGGTCGGGAAGTTATCCAGATGAGAGCCAAGAAGCAGTTGCCTTCAATGAGGTTTGTCAGCAGATTCGTGACCGTTGACTTCTGTGTGACATCAGACATGACGTCCCTCTTAGTGAAATCCAGTAAAAGTCTGCTTTCATCCAGACCATCAAATATAAACAAAAGTTTACAGACAGCCAGCTTCTCTGCTGTGACCTTCTGTAATGTTGGATGGAAAACCTGGAGCAGCTCCAGGAGACTATACTGCACATCTCTGATCAGGTTCAGCTCCCTGAATGAAAGCAGAATCACCACACTGATGTCTTGGTTTTCCAAACCTTCTGCCCAGTCCAGAGTGAACTTCTGCACTGAGAAGGTTTTTCCAACGCCAGCAACACCGTAGGTCAGAACCACTTTGATTTGCATTTGTTGTTCGGGTAAGGCTTTAAAGATGTCACAACACTTAATTGGAACATCATGGAGGGTCTTCTTGTTTGAAGCTCTCTCAAGTTGACTCACTTCATGTTGGGTATTAACCTCCTCACTCTGTCCCTCTGTGATGTAGAGCTCAGTGTAGATTGCGTTGAGGAGAGTTTCACCTCCTGTTTTATCAGTTCCCTCAGTCACAGATTGACATCGCATCTTCAAACAGACTTTATGTTCATCGAAAACTTCCTGAAGGCCATCATCTACTTAAAGACAATAAAACAAAATTTATATATAGTTTTTTACATATATTTAACATTTAACATATATTGCTTAGTTTTTTTAATGACTCCATCACCAAACAGATGCTCAATTTTACTTTGCACACAGCTGCTCCTACTGGCTGTCCAAAATTCAGAACTGGACACGGGCTCCTGCACACACTTGTTCTTTCTGTGGATAGAAAGGGAAACTTATTCTGGCCATGTGGCGAAACATGAAGTTAATTAAGTTGAAAGTCTCAGTATGGTCTATTACTAAGTCAATGCTCTTTCTTTACTTATCAAGCAATAATCATTTCCTTTTACACCATCAGAACTTATATTAATCCAAAACACGAGTTCTCAGCACCCTGTCGACACATCTGTTTACAAGGAAGAGGGTTTATCATGACAGTATTTTCCTGATATCTGCTTTTCGGTCTCTTCCTGAGGACTCTACTACCAAGCAGCATTTTGTCCAACTGTGAAGGTGGTTCACTTCTTACCGAGGTAAATCGCCATGGTAACCTATCCTGTTACGTTCAAGATTGGAGATTAACTGGTATAAAATAATCCCCTACTGACCAATCGATTAACCAGAAATTAACATCACCATTTCTAGAAGATCTCTCAGACCTCTATGGGGAGAGTTGGAGGGTCTAAGTCAGTAGTGGGGAAACTCCAGGCCTCAAGTGCCTGCGGGGTGGGGATGTATCCTTCATCCAACACAGCTGATTTAAATGGCTAAATTACTTCTTAAATTAGGCCTGCTAATGAACTAATCAGTTGATCCGAGTGTATTGACTCAGGGTGATATCTAAAACCTGCAGGACACCGGCCGTTGAGGCCCAGAGTTCCCCGCCCCTGGTTAACTGGTTTAAAGTTTTTCAGTTAGTTTTTGTATTTCCCTGATCTATCTGGGATGGAGTTTACATGTTCTATCAGTGTTTGTGTGGGTTCACTCCAGAAACTCTGGCTTCTTCCCACAGTCCAAAGGCATGCAGTAAGTGGAGTTAGGTTATTACTTATACGTGTGAATGTGAGTACGAATGGTGTCTGTCACGCCATATTAGCTCCACGACAGGCTAGCATGGTAAATTGGAAAACTGCACTCAAATAAATGAGTATTTTTATGCTTCACATTGTCAATACCATGCCTGAAACCCAAAAAGTGTGCTAGTTAGATATATTTTTTTTAAAAGTCTTTACCCTACATTTAGTTTGTGGGTATCTGGTCACTCTAGTCCCTGGGTGGAGTCCCTACCTATGCAGAGGTATCAGGTAGTTTTGGTATTTAACAAAAGCAATAAAAATAAAATTATTACATATGAATTGCAGGGAAAAAACAAAAACAAAAAACAGGAAGATCAACATTATTCTACAACTAAAGACACTACCACTGATTCTGGCTCATTTTCAGGTCAGTGTAAAACAGAAACCGCCTCTTACTTTGTGTCTGAGAGTCCCGGTTCATTACTGAAGTTTGGAGGACGACCTTTGGACCAGTCACTGGCCATAGACATACAGCTGGGCACGAGGGACGATGTTCCATCCTCCTCTTCCTCCAAATTATTGTTTCCCCTAATGAGGATCAACAATACATAACAAATATCGATTTTTTAATTTAAATTTTTTGTTTTCTGTTGGTACCAAACATTTTCACAACAGCATTATTGTTCTATAAGAATTAATCCTGCTCCTCACATACAAGGTCTTAAATAATCAGGCCCCATACCCTGAATCCTCCCTTAGTTATGCTGAAGTAGGTGTAGGCTGCTGGGGGATTCCCATGATACAGTATTTCTTCTTCAGTCATGTTTCTCATTCACTCATGTGTTAATAGACCTCTCTGCACTGAATCATACTTGTTATTAATCTCTGTCTCTCTTCCACAGCATGTCTTTATCCTGTCTTCCTTCTCCCACCCCAACCAGTTGCAGCAGATGGCCCCGCCCCTCCCTGAGCCTGGTTCTGCCGGAGGTTTCTTCCTGTTAAAAGGGAGTTTTTCCTTCCTACTGTCGCCAAAGTGCTTGCTCATAGGGGGTCATATGACTGTTGGGTTTTTCTCTGTATGTATTATTGTAGGGTCTACCTTACAATATAAAGCGCGTTGAGGTGACTGTTGTTGTGATTTGGCGCTGTGTAAATCAAATTGAATTGAATTGAATATCTGATCCTGAAACAGGACACTTTCCGCTGACCTCATAAGAAGTTTGTACGTACACTACGTTTGAAATCTGTTTTTATATTTCATTTTTACTCTGAAACCCTTAAACAACACCAAGTCTGCTGCTGACACAACAGAAATGAAAACTGTCAGGAGCGGATTATGTTCCGACTTTCACAACACGTTTTCTCTGAGTCTTTCATTTAAAGATTGTTTTAAGTGTATTATAGATTCTATGCTGGGAAATAAACGTTATATGTACAGTTTGCTGTTTGATTTTACTGTTACTTTTTCTGTGTTCTTTATAGGTTTATCCTTCACATCATCAATACCATGCCTGAAACCCAAAAAGTGTATTAGTAAGATTTTTTTTTAAGTCTTTACCCTACATTTAGTTTGTGGGTATCTAACTATGTGGGTACCTAACTATGCAGAGGTATCAGGTAGTTGTGGTATTTAACAAAAACAATAAAAATAAAATTATTACATATGAGTTGCAGGTTAAAAACAAAAACAAAAAACCGGAAGAACAACATTATTCTACAACTAAAGACACTACCACTGATTCTGGCTCATTTTCAGGTCAGTGTAAAATAGAAACAGCCTCTTACTTTGTGTCTGAGGGTCCCGGTTCATTACTGAAGTTTGGGGGACGACCTTTGGACCAGTCACTGGCCATAGACACAGGAGACTGTGTTCTGTCCTCCTCTTCCTCCAAATTATTCATCTTCAAGCACTTGTAAACAACAATTCTGCAAACGCACAACGTGAGAATGAAGACAGGTTTGTTCAAAAGTCACCCAAGACCAGTACACACACACACACACACACACACACACACACACACAGAGAGAGAGAGAGAGGGTCCACTCTCTCTCTCTCTTACTCTCACCTTATTGTCCACGTTTGCTCTGTCGGCTGTTTCAACATGTACACAAGTACGTATAAGTATACGAAGCGCCTCGAGGCGACTTTTGTTGTGATTTGGCGCTATATAAATAAAATTGAATTGAATTACGTGGATCACCCGAAAACAGGAAAGACCATCGATTACATGATTGTTAAAGAGACGCGAGAGCACCGCACATGTTAAACACAGCTTACAGTAGTGATGGCCCGCTTGAAGCTGACGCTCCGGAGCGTGTGTCGAAAAAAACAACACACTGGTTCAGAAGCACTGAGTCGAGGCTTGCTTCGTTTGGCAAAAGTCACGTGACCAGTGACGTCCGAAGCTTCATTACGCACGTAACTGCTTCGGTACCTGATTCAAACGGATATAAGGAAGTGAATCATCCACGGGATTCGTGGAGTGTGCTGATGGTGACAGATAGCGAAGAGGTGATCATTCCACTGACAGATATGGAGCCAGCGAGGAAGAGAGGACGTTCTGGCGTGTGGAAATATTTTGAGTTGATTTTGCTCAATTCATTTTATCTGCCGAAGTGAAAAACTTGAAATGTCCAAAATCATGTTTTCATAATGTAAATATCATTACAGCATATGACTGTAGGAACACTTCCATGTGAATTAAAGCTAATGAAGACTACAAAAATGTATTTGACACTATACGTACATGACATTGCTACACAGTTTAGAAAATCATTTTGTTTATTGTTGTTAGGTGATAGTCTGCAGGACCCAGGAATACCTGCATATCTACCAACTTGCAGTGTGGTTCCTGCACTCCACAGCCTCTTCTGTTCCATGCAAGTGGATTTTCTCCAGGGCAGGAGAAACTATTTCTAAGAAAAGAAACAGACTCAGCCAGCACACAGTAACACTAATCCTCTTTTTAACTGTAAATAACAAAAGGGCTAGCTTACATAGATCATGTTTTACTTTGCAAATTCTTGATTAGGGTGGGTTTGATTATCGCTTTTCTGATTACAATCCATGCTAAATTGAATAAAGTGATATTGATTCATTAAAATCCCGTGTCGATTTGTAAATTAACGTTATTATGCCTGAAACGCCAGCATATCAGGTTAAACCTCACAACATGTCGTCAAACACCATGCAGCTAAAACAGTAACTGGGAGCAGGTTTACGGATTCTGCATACAAACGTGAACACAGAGCGCGGACCCGACGCGTCAGAATCAGATGTTGATGTGTCGTCGGGTCCGCGCTGTGTTTGCCTCGCTGGCTTCTGCAGCTGCAGGTTTCATAACTCTCTGTTTACATCTCTAATTAAGTCTCACATGTGTCAGCTTTCTTTTAATAGATACGAAATTATGGATATATACTGTTAAATGATCAGAACTGTAATATTTCTGACTGAGGCAAAACTTTCCAGATTCCAATCAAATTGAATCGGATCCTGTATCGAATCAAAATGATTCTACAAATCAGTGACGATGCAGCCGTACTCAGCTTCCTAAGCATTTTCCCTTTCCAGTTCACAATCAATCCCACCCTAGGTCAAAAATATGTATAGGACAATTGGTCTAATCTAATATTTTGTATGAACCTGTCCAGCTGTCCAGTGATTAAATGACAAGTAGATGGAGGCAGGACTCCACAGCAGGGGCATACTCCATAATGTGCTGTGCATTCTCATATGTATATTATATATATTGCTCACTTATTGTATTTACCAACATCAAGGAGTTATGAGCAAAGAAAGGCCACACCATAGTGCATGTTTAAATAGGGAAAGTTTATTGATCAAAATGTATTACGCAAATACGCATTACATTTTTTTCAGGCCCCCAATCGAGAAAACAAAACCAATTACATGTTCAAAGCAACGGAACGGTGGCCCAATATCAGAGAGAACTCTACTCTTGTGTGAGCAGTGATGATTGAGCAGTCCGTTTTATTTTGCAGATTCAAGCTGCTCTTCAAAATTTTCACCACCAGATGTCACCGGAGAGGACTGTGTTGAAAAGCTTCGAGTAATGAACCGTTTTTCAATACAAGCTTCAGTGCTTCGGAAAGCTTCATTTGGCCATCACTAGCTTACAGCAGAAGTGATCTTTACCAGGGGCCTGTGCTTCGTACGTCGCTTACTACATCCAAGACCAAATGACACATCCAAGACCAAACTATCGCGCTAACCGTGAGCTCGCTAATCCGGTTCCCCGAACACACCTGCTGTTGACGATTAGTACAGCTGGACGCAGTAATGTGACATCACTGGGTGTCGTAAAAGGGGCTACGCATCGATAGTAGAAACATTGATCGGCAACCCGCTGATTGGTCGGCGAAAATGCCGAAGGGGCGTGCTCGGTATTATCCGGCAGCAGAGCAAGAACTCATGAGTGAGGGATTTCAGGAGTTTCAGAGTTTAATTAAAACGCAAGGGAACACTGCAAAGGCTGCAAAAGCAAGGAGAGAGGGCTGGCAGAAAGTTGCTGACAAATCAAACTCGTAGGTAATTTAATAATAATAATAATAATAATGGATTGGGTTTATATAGCGCTTTCCAAGGCACCCAAAGCGCTGTACGATACCACTATTCATTCACTCCCACATTCACACACTGGTGGAGGCAGCTACGGTTGTAGCCAGGCTGCCATATCGCGCCATCGGCCCTCTGGCCAACACCAGTAGGCGGTAGGGTAGATCTATCATATGACACTATATTGTCCAATATCATATGGCATTATATTATATTATAATATGTTATATTATATCCCCTTTCACATTAGAGCCACAACAGGACCCACAAGAACATGGGAACAAGTAAAAGTGGAATACAGGAGTATTCTACAGAATGGTAATATTTATCTCTTATATTGCTTTTCGTCTCCTGGCAAGGTAATACTGGCCTGTAATACTCTGTTAGTTCGTTCGTAACAGCAACCAAGAAAAGGGCAGAGCAACAAAAGACAGGTGGTGGTCCTGCACCCCCTCGTCAACAAGTTGGTTAAGTGAATAATACCCTCACGGGAAAATCGATATCTCTCAATGAGCACACTGTCGCGCTGAGCTAAAGGATCCTGTCTGTCCCGCAATATACGCTGAATTCTGAGGACTCTCCTTATCAATCTTGCACCTTCCGCAATGGGTGGCTCGCGTATACGGACAGCACATGGCTGCGACAGACTTCCCAAATCCACCTTCGCTTTTATAGCCGTAGTCTCTCATCTTGATTACACGAAGTAATTTACAATTACTACTCTGAAATCTGAATTACATCTGTAATAATCACATACATGTAATAGAATGTTAATAGTACATTTCCCTTTTTTAGGAAATGACCTGTATGTATCTGTGTGACATCAATAAAAGGATCAAGTGCTGCATTATCTTTAGTTACATTGATGTCATTTATTTATGGTGAAACAGTGGTGGAATATCGCTGTTGCTTTCGTATAAATGAAGCGGACATACCTGAGTGGCCGCGATCTAATCCTGTTTACATAAAGTAAACCTGCTCCCCAGCAGGTTTGCGCTTACGGCTCTGTTGCTACGACAGCAAGTCCCGGATGAGCTTCGGAGAACCGAACGATCCAAGATCACGCGAAATCGTCAACAATCTAATCCAGCTAACTTACTTAGCGACGTACGAAGAACGGGCCCCTGGATTTTATGTTAAGTTCAACAAACCGCAACACCCGCTGGTTTCACTTTCTGTTTTACAGCTTCTCCACCACTTTACGTTTTAGGAGATCACGTGACCACAATTTAACCTTATAGGATGATGGCGTGTCAACGTCACGACTGCAGCAGGGTTTGACAGTTTATCAACACTTTTCTAGAATTCTCATCAAAATGACCTGAATCATTGTCAGATTTCCACACGTCATTAAACTGGTTAAACATAACGGAACAAAGAAATATTAATTTTGCACTCTGTCGCAGGGCTATGAGAGGGAGGGTATGAAGTCCTTTACTGAATGTATTTGTTTAATTACTCATGTTTGCTTAACTTTCTTCTGCCCTGAAGTTCTCTCTATGGATGAGAGGACGTATAGTACCAGATGTGGGATTCATTTATAGTTGTTTATTATGATGATCCACTATTATCATGAATTCTCTTACTTTAGATTTAGAGTATATTTGGATCCTAAAACTCTTTTAACATCGATTAATCAAAAGTCATATTTATTTGAATAAGCAATTGAAATGTTAAGATTGAACCAAGAATGGTGGACACTGAAATAAGACATGACAGAAATCAAGTGGAGGGATTAATTACAAAGACTTGTAAATCTTGAAGTCTTGCTCTTTTTACAAAGACAGGGACAGATTCCTACTGAGCATGTGCACTGGACTAGCTTGTTCCTGCCTGGTGAAATTAATTGTCCATAGCAGCACCTCCTGCCTAATGATCCTTCGAGGCTTTGATTTTTATGAAAGCTTAATTTAAACTCCAGAACAAAATTCTGAAAAACAGTTTCTCTGTGTGAATGTAAATAACTTTTTAAACTGTGAACAGGGAGGTAGCGTACTGAAAGATAGAAGATGACACCACACCATACAGCACCATTGATAAAACTCTTTATATCAAAACTTTTACATTTGTTTTTAAAAGCACAGATTCTCCCAAAACTCTTTAAACTCACTGTGACAGATAAAGATATTTCTTCACTGAACTTTATTTACATGGTGCAACAGGACTTTCTGACACCAGAACATTCACTGTCCAAACACTTTTGACATTCCTGCTTTCTTCCTGCTTTAAATGAAAATAAAATGTTTACAGCTCAAATGTTTTTCAGGTTTTTGCAGAAGAATATATAACTGCTCTGCAGAGTAGAAAGAGCAAAAAGGAAGGAAATCAGCATTATCTAAACAAAACACGATGAACCAAACTAAGATCTGGTCTGTTCCAAACACATCAAGGTAGAAATGTTCTGACATTAAAGCTGCTGAAGAGCACCGAGGATCAACAGAAATCCTGTTTATCTAAGTGCTGCAGGAATTAGTCTATAAACATGGAAAACTCTTTGGTAAGATGCCTGAAATATGCTTTTAAAATTCCACAGATGGTTTAAATACATATATGAACACTGAGCTGCTGCTTTTGAAGCTGAACGAGTCATAAACACGGGATTTTCAAACAAGCATCTTAACAAAAGAAACTCCAGGAGTTTCGTCACAGGAGTTTCAAAAAAGTTTTATGTTTTGAGAAGTTAAAGTCATGCATCCATGCTGTAGTGTGTTTCTGATTTGTTTGCCCTTTTCACTGCTTCAATACTGCTCGGTGACTAGTTGGCAACATCTTCCACGCAAACTATGACAACTGCAGCAATCTGCTTGCAACCAGAGCAATCACAAGAAGGTTTTAGTGAAGCACAGCAGACGACTGGTTTCACCTAAAAACAAAAAGCAGCTTCCAGCGGCCACTCGCCAACCGGTCGAGGGATAAACATTTGTCCCCAGTGGTTGTGGTGGAGTCACCAACCGGGCTCTAGGTCTGTACGATTTTGAAGTTTCTGATGGAGCTCGTGTAACTTTTCGTCCAGAACATTTTTAAACTGAGCAGCTTTAAACACATTATGTAAAAATATATTTTATACATAAATAGAATTTACAATTTTTAGCTATTTATACAAAAGCTGCATTCAACAGGTTTTATATTAAAGGTGGGGAGATTTATCAGGTAAATAAAATAATATGATATAAGAATGATGGGAGTCCACAGTCCTGGATCCTCTTTGTTGTATTTCATTTCATGATGCTTCAAATGCTCTCACATGGTGAAAGGTCTGATCTGCAGGCAGGCCAGTTCAGCACCACAACTCTTCTGCTATGAAGCCATGATGCTGTTGTAGATCCAGTATGCAGTTCAATATTGTCTTGCTGAAACATGCAAAGACTTCCCTGAAAAAGATGGCAGTATATGTTCCTCTAAAACCTGTATATACTTTTCAGCATTGATGGATACTTTCCAAATGTGCCAGCTCCCAATTTCATTGGCACTATTGCACCCCATTACCATCAGAGATGCAGCACTGATAACAAGCCAGAATGGTCCCTCTTGTCTTTATTCCAGACGACTCAGGATCCATGTTTTCCACTTTATCTCAGGCCATTTTAAATTAGCTTTGGCTCAGAGAAGGCAGGAGGTTTTCTGGATCATGTTCACGTGGCTTCTTGTTTGTATGTTAAAGTTTTAACCTGCATTTTCAGATGGCACAGTGAACTGTGACAGACAGGGAATTCTGGAAGTGTTCCCGAATCCATGCATGGATTTCCGTGACAGAATCATGCCTGTTTTTAATGCTGTGCCTCCTGAAGGGCCCAAAGATCACAGTAGGCCCAATATTCATTTTCAGCTTTTTTCAGAGATTTCTTCAGATTGTTGTGTGATGATGTTATGTACTGCAGATGATGAGATATTTTATGTTGAGGAGCATTATTCTGAAACACAGTTTTTTGCAGATTTGTGAACCTCAGTTCATTTTAACTTTAACATGCTTTCATTCTAAATGAACTCGTGTTTTTCTTAAAGTGGTGCTATTTCAGATGTTTTGATCTGATTGCATGTTTTGTTTTGTTCTTTTAACGTTTCCATGTTCTGTTATAAATTAAAGTTGGGTTTATGAGAGATCCTTGTGTTCTCTTTAGCGCAGGGTCCCAACTTTATGCAAGTGGTGCTGTACTACACACAGTTAACATGGTGGAAGGTGGCGCAAAGCGTGTAGGCTGAGGAATGTAAATATGATAGCACTGGGAACACTGGGAAGAGAAAACAAGGAAACACTAGGGAGTCATCTAGGACAGAGTTATGGCTGTGAAACAACGAATGGTTTTGTGACAGCTGAGTCAGTCTTAAGCTTAATCTCTCAGAAATATAAGTGAATGTCAAGAAACCCACCAGTGTCCTGCTGTTACATGCTCTGTATGGATGTATGGACTGATCAGTGTTTACACTTGTTATTTTTAAAGGTTCATAACTTTAAAAAAATTAAAAAAAAAAAAAATAATAATGTAAATCTCAGTGTGGATGTGACCTGTGTCCGCAGACAGGAATGTTTACGATTATACATTGAAGGCATCATCAATAAAGCGCTCCTCACAGCCACAAAGCATGCGCAGTCCTGCAAGGAATCAATCATTTAGTAAATTATAATAATAATAATAATGGATTGGATTTATATAGCACTTTTCAAGGCACGCAAAGCGCTTTACAATGCCACTATTCATTCACTCTCGCATTCACACACTGGTGGAGGCAGCTACGGTTGTAGCCACAGCTGCCCTGGGGCAGACTGACAGAGGCGAGGCTGCCATATCGCGCCATCGGCCCCTCTGGCCAACACCAGTAGGCGGTAGGGTAAAGTGTCTTGCCCAAGGACACAACGACCAGGACAGAGAGCCCGGGGATCGAACCGGCGACCTTCCGGTTACAGATGCGCTTCCAATTAGTGATAAAGTCAAGCAGAAAGAGAACTGAGGCAATTGACTGAGTATGCGCTGCAGCCAGGGCCACGGGAACATTTCACTATTAGAAGGGGAAGAAGTTACAGGAGAAAAATCATGAAGCCGAAGATGAAAAGAGGATGACTTCGTCTTGTTGTCGATTCTGAGGTGGGCTCAGTGACTTCAGGCGCTTTCACAGTCACTCGACCTGAAAACATCCAGAGAACATCCTGTGGATTTAATAAGGACAACCTCAAAGAGAAAACTAACGGGAAAGGTGCAGAGACCATAGCAGTCACCAGGGGGCGCCCTTCACTGTAACTTCAACTGCAGCCATCCATCCTGCTCTTTTCTGTTTTAAATCAAATTCAGTGGCAGATCTAGAAAGTTTTACATGGAGGCGGGGTCAAAGGAGGGGCAAGAGGTCTAGGCAGGTGGCACATACCTCTGCAGGGAAGTATCTGAAAATGCCCTATATGTAAATGGAGTCAACAAGATATCCACAAAAACCTTTAAAACTATTTATTGGGCAGCTTGGTCTCTGATTGGTCAGTTTTCCTCTTATTCTTAGTGACCACTTTCCGTTTTCTGGTTTGGATTCCATCTTTCTTCAAGGCCAGCGGGCGATTCACCTGCAAACATTTAACAAAGACTCAGCCTCAAAGTACAAGGAACACCTTCTTTGCTGTTTTACTCTTACTAGAGGAAGTAAAGCATGTGGCCAGAGCAGTATTTTAGTTTGTAGTACCCGGTGTAGTCTGTAGTAGAGTCCGCAGGCGTTGCAGACGGCTTCTCCTGCAGAGTTTCTCCTCCACAGCGTCGTGTGCTCAGTCAGACAGTTGACACACTGAGTTCCTTTCCTCTGAATCCTGCTCTGGAATAACACACCATACTGTTTTGAAATATATTTTGAGGTAATTTAACACAATTTTCTTTTTCACACAAGATGTTTTAGAGGGATCAAGAACAAGTTTCCCACAGGAAATCTGAATTTTTCAGTAATAAATAAGAGGAAGAAAACTGGCAGGACTTTCAGTGCATGCCCCTCATCCAGCAGAT